CCGTGGCTCTGCTCCCCGCTGGAGACTCTGCTGTGCCAATGGCCAAATCACTGTGATTAYGGCCTGAGAGGGCAGAAAACCCTCAGTGAGAGAAGCAGAGAGCTAGCAAGCAGCATAGAAATACTTAAGGACAAATAAATAAATATTAGAAGTGATAAATGGCTTATCAGAAGTCACATTCAGGAATAGTCTACTCCCACTCGCTCGTAATACAGACATCTATTACTAACAGCAGTTAAATATAGAAATTAACGTCATATGATCTACCAGGATAACATCTGGAGATGCAGCGGTCAGGAGCCTTACCTCAGACAATTCTTCCTCTTAAAAATAAATATATAAATTAAATTCTAAATCTGGATTATATTTCACAGTTCGTTTGTCCAGAAGTCCTAGTCCCCTGGTCTGCCCTTCCCGTAACAGAGGCCAGTAACTTCATCCAACAAATTCCTACATTAATGCCTGAGGCTTGACACTATCCTGGGCTGTGTATCTTAGAGCGATAGCCAGTGTTTATTTTTAAAGCAAATCATCTTTAATGCACCSGTTGCTTCCTCTTATCCCAACATGGGTTTTGCTCGGCAGTTTGCTTTTGCAATTGCCTTTTACTACAACAGCAAAACAACGACAAAGCAAAGCAACAACCTTATTATTTCCTTCATTTCCATCTGAAAATTGCACAACTGCTCCAACATAAGTCCTTGTAGCACAGACGTCAATGACTCCAGAAAAACAACACCGCCAGCTTCGCTTTGCTCTGTCTGTTACCAGGAAACTGAATGAATCAAGAAATTAAATTAAAAAAAAAAAAAAGATAACAAAACCCACCCAAAGTTTCCTCTGTAGCACTTCCTTTACAGCGTGCTCACCTACAGCTTAGTTTCCACCCTAGACCTGGCTAAGTTTCCCTGCTGTGATAYGTGATGTGCAGGTGAAGGGCCTTCCTCCATGACCCACTTGGGTTTGGTTCAACACCAAGATTTAAGCCGCCCCAGGCTGCAATGGCAGTTTCTCAGCAGAACTGAATAGCTAGCATTTCATGAGCTTTACTCACCAATGGTTCCTCCCAAAGGCTCCAAGAGAAGCAGCCTACGCAGCTAAGGACAGGGAGTTTTCACTGGAACCCCAGCCAGAGAGAAYACGGAGGAGTTGCCCAACTGCTACCCAGCAACCTCAGCCTCAGCTTTGACTTCACGTCCTGGGAATGTTTGTCTGCTGCTTATAGATACAACACTTTAGAAACCTCATCCTTCTTTTCCAATGTCCTGTAATAAGATTTCTGTGAAACCAAAGAAGCTTTAGATTCTCCATTACTTCCAAAGATTTCTAAAACTTCCAATGCAAAACCTACCTCACCAGCTACACCTGCAGATCTGGTCATTATTAACCCAGGTTAATCTGAACACAGACCCGCAGCTCTGCTGGACCCAAAAAGTGGGCAGTTTTCCCTGCACTGATCTTGACTCTGGAAAGTTCTTCTTGGCCTGTAGAATGCCCTAAAGTTATGTTCCCTTTTCACCACAGTTTCTTATGCTATCTTTGTTAGAAATCTGCAATTTGGGGCTTTTTTCTAAAGGTAAATTACACCTGCAACTTCTGCAGCACTCAAATTCATTATCCTTGTTAGGCTTTGCCACTAAGATGATAATTGGGATGCTGGAAGTTGATGGCCACTGTTAGGTACATAAAACCATTTTCACAATGCACCTTATGGAGTTTTCCAAAAAGCATGCAAAAATATCCAGAAAAACAAATTAAAAGCTGGGCTGTCATATCTTGAAGCATAGATATTCTTCCACTTAATTCCTCAGATCAGAGCTCACTTAATCACATCCAAATATCTTGGTGCAGTTTATCTTTGATATTCTAAATCATATATCTCAAAGGCTGGATGATGCCTATTGTGCTGTCTGCATTTCAGCAGTAGTTTAGCAGTAAAACGTGTAGATGTAAAAAAGGTAATCTCAATAGGTAAATAAACACAACACTGAAAATAAACATTCAYGCTGCTCTTAAGACTTAGACTAAAAATGGAAATGTCTGAGGCATCACTAACATACTTATTTTTTAGTCTAAATATTTAAGGACTTCAGAACTCGGTGAAAAATGAAACGTCAGAATTAAAGAACAATGTCAAGTATATCTTTTAAATTCCTCATTAAGTCTCTCTACTCATATTTCAAAAGATTTTAAATATTTATGGCTTTCTAAACTATGGATATGAATTAATCATTTGATGCTGAACTTTTTCTACACACTGCTTTGTTACTGCAATGACACATGAAAAAACAGCTTAATAAAGGTTTCATTTCATCCCTGAATGAGTTAATAAAGGAGGAATGCAGGCATCTAATCACACAATTTGAAGGCATTTCTAAAAGGAGGTGGAAGAATACACAAGATGGAAAAAGCACAGGGAGAAATGAACAAACTGACACATTTTTGTGCAAGTTAAGTATGGTGCAAATCTCCCTCCTTGCTGTCTCTCAACAAAAGGGCTCCAAGCTCTCCCCATGCCAGGAATCTCCTGCAGCATCTCTCATGTGCAGCACAGCTTCATTCTCCAGGCTGTTCTTCTCCCAAACGCCTCCTGGTTGCAGAATCAAGACCTGCTGAAGAACAAGAACTTCCAAGAGGTCTCCCACAACGAGGAGGATGAAGGCGAGGAGGGTGTACCAACATACAGGACACAATTTTGAGGAACATGTACCTTACTGAGCAATGCTACYGGCAGTGACAGTTCATGTATAACATAGCCAGAGTCCTATTGAAATAAAATTGGAGATTTGAAAACAAAGATTACAAAGAGACGGGGGGAAAGAAAAAAAATTTCTGCATGGTATAAATATCGAGGGCGCASTGGAGCAGGAGCGAGGTCACGTCAGACTTAGGTTTTAGCACTGAGTAACGCAGGAAAGGAGCTGGACCTGATAGCAGGGCAGGAGTTTGCTGAAAAAGCCCAGCCAGAAGCGTGTGCTAAGAAGTTGCTAGATATATGTTATATCTGTATGTTTCTTAGACATAATTCAAATCTAGGGTTGTCAGAACACATCACCAAAGGCAGAGAAGTCTGGGCCACCTGCAATGATAACATCCACCATGCAAACAATTAAGTATAGCTGCTATACAAGYCTGCACACACTGAAGCTCATGTCATCATTCTCTGCGTGATGAAAAAAGTTTTCTTTCCCCTATATTGAAAAATAAAGCATCTGTTTTTCACTTAGATATGTGCAGTCTTTCGCAGGTGTGTCCTCAAGGTGCATGGGCACACACAGACACACCACTATTTTATTTACTAAACAGTTACCTAGACATGGAATAGGATATAAGAAAAATATTTTCCATCCATAAGAAAAGTATATTCCATCACTACAGTGATTTAAGGTTAGTGTCTACTGTGCTGTGAAAGSAAAAAGAAGTGCCAAGAAGTGACAAGTCAGAGCAATATACCACTATCAAGATTCAGTTCCAGCACAGGCTCATTTCAGTAACTGATTTCAATGATTACCAGATATTTTTGATGGGTACTTTATCTACTTCCGCCTCCCCCTCAGAGGTTTCCATTCTGGTCTTTAAATTCACAGTTTGTGACGCAGAGATCTGCACTTCATGTATATCCACRAATGGGCTGCTGAAGCTAAAGGACGAATCCATTCTTTGCTTTTGCTGCTTCGCTCTGTAATTTTTTTCCATTCATCACTCAGACCTACTGCCGACTCAGACATACTGCCAATAATTCCATCACTAGAAAGTGATGGTAACTCCAGCCTCCTTTCAACACGGAAAAAAGAAATAACTAAAGCATCAATGATAAAGAAAAAAAGAAAAAAAAGATACATCTATGCAGTCAGAAAGGGTGAAAACTGGCTGTGCTTCAGCCTGTGGAAACTTTGGCATGGACTTCAGTAGGGCAAGATAAATGCCAGAAAATTCTTCAAGATTTATAAAATAAAACAAAAGTTGATGAGACAGTTAAGCTTCAGGAAAACTGAATCCAAATGCTCATCAGCTTGATATAGTATTGTCCTTTTTTCTGCTTTTTCTATGTATTTGTAGGCTCAGAAATGACAACATGGAGGAGGTCAAATGGTAAAAAAACAATTACCAATTACTACAGCTAGATTAATTTCTACTTCCCCAAAATGGGAACTTYCTAAAGAACAAAGTATCAAAACACAACTGCAAAGGAAGGCAGCACAAAATCTTATCTAAGTTTTCCTTTAAATTGCAAAAAACACCAAGTGATAGCAACTTTGCTGGAAATTCTACTGCAGTCTCAAAACACATGAAGTCAAAAACATCTCCTAACTGCTGGCAGCAGTTTTTTTTTTTGGCCCCAAAGTAGGTGTATTAAAAATATATATATTCATGTCTTCAGAAACATATACAAACTGATTCACAGTTCACTGAGGACCCGATTCCCAAATCAAGCCTGGGGAGCATCAGCAATTCACGGAACATAACGGCCTGTGACACCCAGGGGGGCAGACCCCCAAGCTCATGGTCTCTTCTGGCCTTAAGTTCAACGACTCTGTTGCAGACTTGTCCAGCCGAGTATGTGCTTGGAAGTGCTTTCAATTTCCATTTTAATGCAGAACTATATGATGTAGTTTGTGACTGCACCCACACTTGACTGCGATTTGGAAGGTAACAAAAGACAACACTYGGGATAATAAAAAGCAGCTGCACATAGAAAGATTTAAAGTAACAGTCTGCACACTTAAAAAGTGCAGTTTATAAACATATGCTTATAAACTTATATTTCCAAAATAAGTCAACAGTAAAACTAGAGTGCTTGTAGTACAGCAGAACTTTGTAGGGTTAACTGTGCTTCTGTCCAGAGAGAGAGAGAGAAGGAACACATGCRCACACACACGCTATCGTGAATAAAGTTATAATATTGCAGCATTACTGGATGGGCACATCCTGATGCAGCAACACGGGGCATCYATCACAGAAGCAGAGCACTGAGCAAATTAACCCGCCCTGGCTCTTTTCCAGCCAGACCCCACCACTCATTTATTTCGCCGCTTTCAAGCGCCGGAGCTGGATGCATTGGAATGAGTCAATGAGCACACAACAGAAGCAGCAGACTGCAAGTTTTGCTAAGAAACAAAGAGAAAAGTGTACGGAGACCGAGATGCAGCCCCAGAGACGTGAAATGCTCCCATGGCATGGGTGAGTCATATAGAGAAAGACTGGAAGAAGAAAGAGAGCAAAGAAAGAATTCAAGCTTGATTTTTTTTTTTTTGCCAAACGTGGCAAGAAGGATCCCTCTCCTTCATTCAAGAATTAGAGAAAATAATTGAGTATTTCCCAAAACAGAAATCCTTATGATTGGTGTTATAAGCAAAATAAGCGATAAACTAATTCGCACACAGAGACACACTAAAGAAAAGGCGTTGTGCTAGACACTAGTGAAAAATCCGAACTGAGGATCTGCCAGGTGATGAAAAGAGACTACGCTACAAAGGATCTTCCTGGATACAAAGTGAATTCTACAAAAATGCATGAGAAAAAGGTAAGTTCTTCTTTGCATGAAAATTGCAACCAGTCTAGTCAGCAAGCGAGCACTCAGCTTGCTCAGCGACAGCTGTTCTGGTGCCTGCTTGGAGGGGGAAATGCAAGTGTTAAGTGTTCAGCGGAGCACAGAGAGAGACGAGACACAGAGAAGGAGAAAAAGGGAGAAAAAGGCTCTGCTTAATAATAGCCTTGCTCGGATTACAAAAACACCAAGCAGTTTACTCACCTCCTCCCCTCACTCCCACCCCCTTCAATTAATGGGTAAATTTAGATGTCTCAGTTCCATAAATCTTTACGGCTCCCTTGGGGAAGTCACCAGTGTTTTATTGTCCACAGCTTCCTGACCCTCACCTGACAAATTGGGAACTGTGGACATTAAGACGGAAAACTCATRTATCATTTCCAAAGATATTTTGGGGGTGACTCCCTGTGGGGAAATCGGATTCTTAATAAGGGGAAAATATAGGAACTGCAGCCTGCCTACGCACACGCTGCTGGAGTCTAGACACTCAGCAGAGGAGGAGTTGCACATCCACAACGCGAGCATCTGTCTTTACATCACTTTGTGCTTACAGCGAGGAAATCTACATACACTACGTCCAAAGGAAATCATTTGGCATCCAAATTAATCTATCACTTTTTTTTTTTTCCCCTGCTGAAGAAAAATAACGGGAGCTGAGGCACGACTTGCTTTTCACAGCTAGTGAATGCTGAAGGCTGAACCTCCCTACAAAGGAGGTTCCCTATAAACTGGACCCGAGCAGCCAGGCATGGACACCAGACAAGACTCTCATTTTTAAGATCTAGCGGCGCCCAGCAAGTCCCAGGATTCAAAGTCTGGACACAAGCTCTGGACACATGGTTAGTGTATCTCAAAATAGCAGATGACCAGTTTACCATACTGACCATGCTGGCCTTTCTTCAGGACCATCCGGGACCAGAGAGGAGCACTGAATTCTCGCACCATCCCCGATTTCTGCACGAAATACAACTCCGGTGCACCTTCTGTCGGGCACAAAAATGTCCCATCCTTTACACTTCTTGAACGGGTCTGGAGTTGGCAATGGATCTCTGTCGCCTCTCTCCGTAACGGCAGAGCCCAAGCACGACTACCCAAATGACGAACAAGGAAACAAAGTGCGTTGGGCAGCCTTGCTGATCCTCCTGGTGATAATCCCCACCATCGGGGGGAACATTCTTGTTATCCTGGCGGTGTCTCTGGAGAAGAAGTTGCAATACGCTACCAACTACTTCCTAACGTCCCTGGCAGCGGCGGATCTGCTGGTGGGTCTCTTTGTGATGCCCATTGCCCTTCTCTTAATAGTATTTGGTAAGTACAGCACCCTCACTTCTGTCAGCAGGCCAGCATGTTGGGTACAATAACAGAACTGTTTATTTTCTACTATCAGATTTCTTTTTCAACTCACTTGGGTAATGTCTTTGRAGGGAGCGTAACCACTAGGCAGATTTCTTCCCCACTCGAAGAACATTTGGGACTTAGAAATGACATAAACTGGAGAAGGGCAAGTGCATGGAAAATTATGTTGTTGCACCTTTTATTAATATTTTGAATAACATCAGCACAACGTTGGTTTCTGCTCTGTTGGGTATTACAGCAATGGCAAGCTGTCTTCTCTTGAAAATATGGTACGAAGGAGGAGTCTCTGCGCTAAGAGAACTAAGCTGTGAAGAGTTTGTGAAGAAGTTCTTAGGAGTTAATGCTACCCAAAGTACAGACTTGATACCAAGATAAGATCAAGTGCAGTGCAGTGAGAGATGATGTCGGAACGATCACAAACAACAGGTTTGCCAGCGTCAGCCTTAGGGAGTTAATTTACCTGTTAAATCAAGGCACCTTCAATCTATTTCTGTACTTAATGTAGGTAGGATTTGGATTATCACTTAGTCTGGTTCACATAGAATAAAATGGATTTTTTTTGTATATAAATATACACTGAGTTTGGCATTTTCTTTCTTGTTAGTCARGACAGAACAAACGTAACTTTTTCATACTCTTAACATGTCCAGTCTTATTTGAAGTACTGCTCTGGTAACTCMTCAGAAGCAGCTCCACAGAAAACTCTTTTTTTTTTTTACTCCTAAAGCTTTTTTAAGAAAATATTTCAAAATGACTATGGAAATATCATAGAAATTGGAGGAAAAAAACCCAAAAACACATGGTGAGAGGGATTTCCAAAAAGTTATGATTTAATTACCTATCTTTATAGGTATATCTATAGGTATATTTATAGATAGAGATAAAACTGAGCCATAAATAACGGGAGGTTGCAGGACTTTGATTTTTCTATGCTCGATCTCTCARAGTTGCCTGAGCAACAAGCAGACAAAAGCTAAAATTTAATTTCAAAAAGGCCATCAGTAGGGTTTGTTTGCAGCAGAGGACTGGTATCCCGTTATTAACAAATATATTTGTTCATTAAATGCCTTGGCACAGAATTCTGGCATATTACAGCCTGCTTTTCTGCAACAGAAGTATGAACTGGAAAACAGCATTCAGAGCTGAAATCATAAAAGAGATTTTTCTAAGCAATTTTCAGGAAAAAAGCGATTTCTAATTTATAGAAAACTGTGACTTATAGAAACCACTTGATACGGGGTATGTCTCTATAKATACATATAGAGGTAGACAGATCTATATATGTGCATATGCACATAGTTACTRTAATTGCCGAGTTCCTGCAAAAGGCTTCTGAAATAACAAAAATGATAGGATTACTAATCATAAAAGCACCAGCATTTGAYTAGCAATGAATACAGAGGAAAGGTATGTACTAGATTTTGTATGTGTTTTAATTTTATTAGACTACTAATTCCTTTTCTTTTTAATTTTATAAGAAGAATATTGCTCCTTAATCTCTCAACTAATCCCGTGCTAAACCCTGGTTACAACAGTTTAAAACGCGTGAGGAATCTTAATTTCCAAGGCAAACAAAAGCATCTTTCACGTTCAAGAAAGTTACAAGAAAGCAGTAAAATTAGATATAATTAACCACAGCAGATTGCTACCAGTCTTTTGCATAGCAGTGGTTAAGACTAAAATTACTTGCATAAAATACCTGTTTCACAGGCAATCTCAAAAAAAATCCTTTGCCCCTCCACCAGCTGGTGGAAGACACGCTGGTRTTTATAGAAAGTTTATAGTAAGAAAACCACGAGCAAAACATGAGGGGCTGCTGGAATGGAGCAAGAACACAGACATTTAAGTACATAACAAGTCTCAATCTCCAAGCGACGCTGGCCAGAGAGCTACCTGAATGCAGAATAATCACTGCTGGTCAGAGCCAACCCCACRAACCTCCTGGCACTTCCACCCAGGGCTGTTTCCATAATAATAAAATAGCTGCGTGCAGTTGCTAGATAGAGAATATAAATATTATGCTTCCGATTTTGGATTGCTGACTAATTAACGCGGAGAATATTTGAGGGAAAAGGTGTGAGCTAAAATGCAGGCACATTAAACCTTCCTGACAGCAAAAAATTAATGTGCCACAGAACGTTCACCTTCAAGATCTGCTCCAGATACTGGCTCCTGATTGTAYGCTTGGAAAAAAATCTTCAGAAATAAAATGGTCTCAGTAATAAACAGCTACTCTTTAATTTTTTTTTAAATTGTAGCTCTCAGGTATAATATTCCAAGTGGCCAATTATTTCTTTTCAGCARAGCGACTGAAATGTATTTCGTTATAAACATATATTGCAGCTTCAATTTAAAAGAGTGCAAACGTCACGGTTTACCAACAGTTTGTGACTTCTAAGGTCTTCCTATTCCTTTCACAAAAAGGAAGGTGCATGCTAGGAAATAGGTGCTTACTTGGAAATCCAGCTTTCAAAAGTTACCTGAATGCAGAGCGCAGGGTGTTCCCAGCTAAAGAAGCAAAACAGAACTGCTGCTGCTCTCCAGCTGGTGAAACTAGCAGATGTTTCAGAGAGCTCCTCTGATTTACAAAGCCCGCAAGCAGCAGCAGTGCGTTGCCTGTGGCTGGGTGGGCAGTGGAGGCAGTGGGTGCACCCTGTTTTAAAATACATTTTATATTCTCAGTATGTACCCGCTTAAAACCCAAAAGRTAGCACTGTTATCACAGGCTGCAAATGTTTATTTTGTAAAGCTCAGCACTAGCAACTACAGCCTTAATCTTCCTTCCAYCACTGATTACCAACCACAGCAACTCTTCCTCCCTCGCTCACTTGTAGAAAATGTAACAGATAAAACTGGTGGCACTGCTGGCTAGTTTCAAAACCAGAAGTGTAAAGATAAGTAAGAAACACAGAGTTTGCTTTTCATAAAGCATCTCTAATAAAATTACTTYGATGAAATTCAAAATACGGCACAAGAGTAAAACAACTACTGCCGAACCCGTAATTGTAGTGGAGAAATCAAGACAAGTGGTCGCGGTGAGGGACAGAGCAAGACACGTTTTAAGGGACACGCAGACCGTGAAGTCCATTAAGCCAAGCACCGACCCCAGGCTGAAAAACACTTGGAGACCCATGGGTCTGCAAACACCCACAGCTCAGTCTGAGGACGGCGCCAGCTACTGATAAAATAGTCAAATTTCGGTACATCAGTAAAAGCGCCATTATTTAACAGGAACAAAACGACTCCTCTAACAAAATCCTTCACAGGCAACCCGTTTCAACTGCCTTTACAGTGAAAGAACAAATAATTTTCAAGTCTATTTAAAGATTCTTCTTAATCAAGCTTATACATCCATGTAAATAGAGCTTTCCCCCAAGCTTTCAGAAAACCTTTGGGCTTATGGCAAGAACAGCTTTTCTATACAGTGCTCCATTCGAAGGATTACAAGTTTCCAAGGTATTTCCTATAAATAAAGCTTTTCTCATTTCATAAATCAAAGGCACAGCTGCAGTAAAGGGGCACTACWTTCCTCTTAAGGTACAAGACAAACCACAAAACATGCATTTTCTCTTGCACTGACGGAAAAGTAAAGAAAGGGTCTGCAACAGCAGCCCTGCTGCTGCTGGGAGGGAAAGAGCCTTTTTATCTCACACAGCCAGATAGAGCCGGAAAAATCAGAGAAATTTTCTAGACATGTTTATCAGGTAACCTAGGCATAAAACATAACAAGGAAAAGAGCACCCACATTGAAACCACTGCACTCCTTTATATCAGTATTTCAGCTCCCAAGGCAAAAGTTTTTCAGCTCCCAAGGCAAAAGTAAGTAGAAAATCTTGCTCTACACAGCTAATCATGTAATGCTTTGGCTTGCTCCACCAAAGGGGACATCTACAACGGCAGAGTTAGCATACTAACAGTCCAAACTGTGTAGGATCTCTTGTGAACTCCCTATCAGCACTTGCTGGTAGCTATTCTTTACACCTACAGTCTAAATTATTAAGTCTTTACATCCTAAAGCATCTCATCTTTACCCTAAAAGAACAGGAATGGTAAATAGCGAAACGTGCACTAGTAAGGGAAACAAAAGCACAGCTTGAAACGTCCCTCGCACACTACAGAACTTCTAACATGTGTGGCAAACAAATCTAAATAGATAAAAGCAAATTAACTCTATGAATCCTAAATGGCTACGTGATTCTGAAAGAGCTCTAGGTATCAGAGTTGCACAGCAGTTATTTTGTACAAATACTACCAATATCCTTCAATTGTTGTCAGCCAGTTTTGTTTGGATTAGAAATACAGTCACGTACTCAGCAAGATAGCACTATAAAATGCCATATTCATGAGTGTGATAACTTTCTGCCTTCTGCATCTGCCTCAAGAGAAAATAATTCAAAAATACCAAAAGCCTTCTCTGTTAGGCTGTGGTCCTCAACTATCAAAATCTCTACAGCTCATAAAAATATACTGCATCGCTCTGCATTAGACAGCTATTTAAATACATCTGTAGTCAAAATGAGGAAAACACTCTTCGGTTCCTAAGTATTTGATGGTTCTGTTCTGCACAGAGCAAATTAATTGCAAAAGGAAAGAATTTATTATGCTGTGATACCRAAATCCGCTCCAGAAGGCAAAGCAGCTCTAATTCAGGGCGCCGCGTGCACGTACGCCTGACAGAAAGCATTAATTGCGCAACTGAAATCCAGCAGTGTTATCTGAACATCCTTCAAGATGTAAAACATGCTTTCCATAGTTCACATTTTATCTGTGTTAACTAATTCTTCACCATAAGTCAAAAAAAGAATTTCTATATTTTTCTAGAGTGAACAAGAATATTTCAAGTCCACCAGACCTATTATTTAAGTGACTTTTTTTTATTTTGGTCTTCCTGAGTTCTATAGATGGTAGTATAAACTCTTAAGAGGTTTTGGTTTTCCTTTTTTTTGTTTAAAAAGGCACCATATTTTGGAAGCTATTAAAAGTGTAGACAGAAACATTAAATTTTGCTAATACAGCAATTATGATTGTCATATATGTGCATAACCAGATTTTTTTTTTTAACACATAATTTAAACTAGCTGATRTTATTTTGGAAAAGGTGCAAGTAAATAGTAAAATTTAGTGGTTAATGCTTTTGAAATAAACCACCTCTTCCCTTCTTGCCTCATTTCCTGCACCATGCTCACCTGGAGTCTGCTGCTTTGGGAATGACTGAGTTCCATTCTGGGCTCCATCCATCTCCTTACCTACAAGCAGGAGAAGTTTCCAAACATACAGAGCAGGGCAGACCAGGCTCTTCACAAGTACAAATCTTTATAAAAATTTTTCCATCCTCTGGGGCTATATGTCTAAAGACATCACCACATTATTTCCATGTATCAGTCACTTGTGAAAAAAAAGTATTTTCATCTTAAATTATTGCAAGATTACTCCATTGGTAAGATAGAGCACAATAATATTCCAGCCTACTTAACAGTCTTAGCAGGCAGATGCATTTACTGAGATCAGGGAGATGAAAAAATAATGACTGGCTAGAAATGTCCTTTTTTCTTTATCATGATTCAGTGAAGGACTCATTCTCTGGCAGTACGTTTAATACACCTACTGACTGAGCACAGCTGAGTTTTGTAAGGAGGGAGAAAACACTTAATATGTTGGTGCCACCGTGAGCAGAAGGCACTCTATGAAGAGCTTCATTGTGGTTCATTGAGATTGGTGGTGTCAACACTGGTGGGGGGAGACAGCTTTCAGAAACACCAGCGTTTCGGAAACCTGAACACTACAAAACCCTTCAGCTCCAACACAACATAGCTGACAGATCTTGGTTTTGCTGTATAGACTTATATTAAGGACAGAGAGCTACCAACAGAAACAGGATGCAAGATTTAATCCAAGCTGTTGCTCTCAAAAGAGATATAAAGGACAATCCCTTAAATATTATAAAATTATTAATATCATAAACAGAAGAATCCTGCTTTGCCATATTAGTGCTCAACCCTATCTGACACACAGAACATGTTCCCTTTTTAGGCCTCTCTGCACCGCACTGAGCAGGATCACCAGTAACTTCAAAATTCAAGCCATGACTGGGCAACGACTGACTAAGAGATTGGTTATGACCCGTTATCTCCTTCATTTGATATAACCTTAAACTGCTGGACTATCAAGCGGAAAAAAATCATTTAARAGCCTAAGGACTAAGCACAGCCATGGTCCATTTGTGCCAAACCTTTTTATTCTGAGCGCCTGCTACAAAGAGCTGATGACCTAAAACAGACAAAAAGCCAGGGAAAGTTTATAATACCTAGACAGACTGATCAACATGATGGCAACAACCATGCTGCCAAGGAGCTATCAAGTAAGACTGAGCATCACTGAGGGAACGTCCCACTGAGGGACATCTAACATTAAGATTTTCTCAGAGTTACTGATGGCAAGAAAAAGTCATACAGTGAAGATGCACAGAATGCTATAATTGAGGGTTTTTTTTTTTTCTCTCTTTCAGACAATTCCTGGCCTCTTCCAACCGCTCTGTGTCCCATCTGGCTGTTCCTTGATGTCCTCTTTTCCACAGCTTCCATCATGCACCTCTGTGCCATCTCACTAGATCGCTATATTGCCATCAAAAAGCCCATCCAGGCCAGCCAGTACAACTCATGGGCTACAACCGTCATCAAAATCATCGTGGTTTGGCTCATTTCAATAGGTATGTGAGACTCAGAGAGCAGAAGTGTAAAAGCTCTTCATGTCCAAAGCAACAGCTGAACGCTGGGCAAAACTGAAAATGGCCAAGTACTATTGATCACTGTGGGTTAGCAAGCCTGGGATGGCTTAAATTCACCTCTTGGATTGTAAATGGCTACATCATAAAAAGGTTTCTTGACAGATGCTCCTAGTCACGCTTATCGCAAAGGCCAAGGGCTGCAGGGAAATCATTGTTCTTCTTCACCGTCCTAAAAGTGAGATGACATCTGCATGGGTAGCGTCTCCCCTAGAAAGCAAAATTTTGGGTTCCTCTGGACCYAATCTGTTGGCTTTCTGTTCCAAATACAATTTGAAGCCTTGAGCAGATGCTACTAAAATCAGTGCCTTGCTTATCAACATTACAAAACACTCTAATTTAAAAAAAATATAAATTTAAAAAGCTTATATGAAAGATGCAAATGTATATCCATTTCTATTAGCATCACTCTGTTGTGCATGTGGCATTTAACCTTTCTTTAACGATTCTTTTCTTTGAAGAGCCATTCAAAGAATTTAAAGATTTAAAGACATCTGATAAATGAGCCAAAGCAGCGAAAACTCTCAATTCAAATAACTAACCTGCACTGCACGTAGCAATGAGCACAGTGTTGTATGCTCCGGGTRCCCAGAGAAAGAACAAACTTATTCTGAATTAGTTTGACCAGTGATGCCCAAGACCATAGGTACATCCAGCATCCTGACCCAGGTACACAGGTGCCTAAAGTAAAATTCCAACATGAAAAAAAAAAAAGAAAAAGAAAAAGAAAAAGAACAATAACAACAACAACAAAAACCCAGATCTGTGATGACAGGAAAAAAATCGTATTTTATCACAGGAAAGAAAGCAAATTGTTAGCAAGACAGGACACTTAAAAGCTGACCTATTACTATCAGAGTTATTAATCAGTGCAGCATTTTTTCATTTCTTTTTTTCTATCACAAAAGCACTCTGCAGCCGAGCCACCGCTCAGCTCCCATCTCCAATTCAAAGGCTAATTTGATTCAGTCCTTTTTTTAAGGGTTTGCTGTGCCTGAAGGTGTCCTTCTTATTAAGGAAGGGGTCAGGCAGCTGAAGGGAGAACTTTTTGCTGCTTGCTGCTTTTGACCCCCTTCAGTAAGCCGGGTAGCAGAGAAATACAGTAAATCCCTAGATCCCCTTAAGTGGTATCAGGAAACACAGCACGAAGAACCTTCAGCAGACAGCAAGGAACCTGTTGTTTTTGTTGTAACATCAGACTGCTGGCAAATGAAGCGCTGCCTGTAATTTAGCGGTTATAAAAAATTCATTTAAGACGACAAGACTGCTAACATTTTTTTTTTTCCAAACGAGCGGTGAATTACAGAGCTAGCTAGCTAGCCTCATTTAAACACTCTTAAATATCCAAGAGACTTTTAACAACAAATCCATCTCAAAAATATACTACATAATTTCAACATCTGCTTAACTATTTCCAAGTCAAGCAGAGTTCTCAAAAAGAAAAAAGGAACAGCTGGGTCAGATCACTTGATGTGGTTAAGATGAGAGAAAAACAAGTTTTGTGTATTCACGCAGTTTTACACAACTGGCCTTTGAAACGTGCAAAGTCTTCCCCAGGAAAATAGATTAAATCAAGCAGACAATGTTAGAAAAACTCATTCCACTGGAGGAAAAGCTACACTAACTATCACAACTAAAGTCAAAGCAAGGTATAGGAAACCTGGGAATTTGGCCATTCTATGGTGCTTCCTAAACCTCTAAAGTTAAGCCCCATCTCAGTTTAAAAGGTCGTTCTTTTAAAGCAGACCTTGTCAGCTTTCACAATGTGCTAATCATCTCAGTTACCCACTTGATGTTCCCAGCAACTCATATTCWTTCACTCGCTCTATACCTACTCCAAAGCTCAGGAATCACCTTGCCTTACAGACCTTAGGTCCAAAAGGGACGTTGCAAGCAAATACCACSCTGAACCACTTGTTTTTTCTTCTCCAGGCATTGCTATTCCAGTCCCCATCAGAGGCATTGAAGATGGGAACGGCAACCACACAAACATAACGTGCGCCCTGACGCCCGATCGCTTCCCCGACTTCATCCTGTTCGGATCGGTGGCTGCCTTCTTCATTCCCCTCACTATCATGATAGTCACTTACTTTCTGACAACCCAAGTGCTACGCAAGAAAGCCTACCTGATCAACAAGTCCCCGCAGCGTTTCACTTGGTCAACAGTGTCCACAGTATTTCAGCGGGACGTGACACCCGCGTCCTCACCAGAAAAGGTGGCTATGCTAAACGGCTCCAGAAAGGACAAGACTTTGTCCAGTGATGTGCCCGTCTGTAGAATGTCTACAATTGGGAGGAAATCCATGCAAACGATCACCAACGAACAGCGGGCCTCAAAAGTTCTGGGGATTGTCTTTTTTCTTTTCTTGCTGATGTGGTGCCCATTCTTCATAACAAACATAAGTTCAGTCCTGTGCAACTCCTGCAACAAGGAGGTTTTTCAAAAGCTCATGGAAATCTTTGTGTGGATAGGATATGTATCCTCAGGGGTGAACCCTCTTGTCTACACACTCTTCAACAAGACATTTAGGGAAGCTTTCAGCAGGTATATCACTTGCAACTATCGGACCACAAAGCCTGTCAAGGCCCTTCGGAAATGCTCCAACAGAATCTCCTTCCGAAATTCTGTGGCAGAGAATTCCAAGCTCCTCGTTATGCACGGGATGCGAAACGGGATTAATCCCATTATGTATCAGAGCCCTATGAGGCTGCGGAGCTCACCCATCCAGGCCTCATCAGCCATTCTGCTGGATACACTGCTGCTCACAGAAAATGAAGTTGATAAAACAGAAGAACAAGTCAGCTACGTATAGGGGGATGGCAGCAACGTTCATATGTARTATTACTGTATGTATTCTAGGTAACTGTGCTATAAGAAGGTATAAATAATATTTTTCTTTTTGTTATTTATGCAAGCAATATCTCATAAATTTATATTAATTCTCGCCTCTGAAGTCTCCTCTATTTTAACCCTAGATCCCATGATAACCACAATTGCATTCCCTGATAAACAATGGCTATTGCAGAACTGTAGCCCGCAGGAAGAGGGAAATAAATAAAAGAAGCTAAATCAATTTGAGTAACTGACTTAGTTATCATCTCCAGCCTCCTCAAAGTATAACAAAGCCACCCATCTACAAACACTAAATGAATAAATTTCCTTTTTCTGTGGGGCCTTTGGAACCTAAGGGAAAGCCTTCAGTGATCTAGTRTAGTTCAGGCAAAATGAAGAAAAGCCAAAGACAGAACAACTATTCCACTTGAAAATGTGAGCAAGTGTTTAAGAGAGAATGATGGCCAGCAAAAGTGGGGCAATACCAAAAATTTGGTATCGCCCGTTTGATTTGCTTGGTTTCTCCAACTGATCTGATCTGGTTCCACTGAAGCTGAAGGAAATTTCTAGCATCAACTTTACCCCAAACATGCATCTCAGGGAGATAACACAGCACTTGGCTATTCGCTTTTGTCAAACTGGACAAATACCACATTTTTGCTGCAACTTTGTTTCTTGCCTCCTCTTAGGCGATGTTCCTTAAAGTTCAGTGGTCTACAATGTCACTCCTTCAAATGATATCACATAAGCTGAAAGACRAGCTGAAGTAAAACCAGTCACTTGAAGGATACTGATGAATGTCTGAGTCCAGAACAAGAAAGCACCGCTTTAGGGGGGTGATAAGGTTTCAGACCTTTAGTTTAAGTTCAACCAGTTGTCATTTTTGAATGTCCATGCTTCCCTGGCCCCAGACCAGGCCTGTTATTCACAGAACACTATAGACAAGGCCATAACATCCAATATCTTCATGCGTCTTTCATATAAACATTTATTTTATGATGTTGCTGTAAAACAAATAAGAGTTTTAGTMGCTATTTAATAATAGTTTGCACTTCCCCAAAAAAAGCATAATCTTTGGTGGTCTCAGCCCTCAAAACTTAATCAAGCTGCTGTCCACTCAGAWGGGGCTTTTCCAAATGATTTCTATCAAGAAGCAGCATCTGGTTACCAAGTATGAAATATGAATTGTCAAAGAGAAATGCATCTCTCAGATATTGTTTCAAATAGATGAGAAAGCAGCAGTGTCACCTGCAGAAGGCACTAAGACCTCACCGGAATATTCTGACATTTGGGTTAGTTGTGAACAAAAAGGGAACTCAAAAAACAGATGCAATTTTARGTTTCCAGGATGATGGAGTCAGCAGAACAGAAAATGTTTTGCCAAAAAAAAAGCTTAGAGAATTGCTCATTTAGCTTGGCAAAACAGGCTGAGGGGGGATATGACTGCGCTCAGTAAACACACATCAAACAGCAATCACCAGAGATGCAGAAAAGTTTTTTAATCTGAGTGAAAATTTTATTATGTGATCACAGAAGTGTGAAACAACCATAAGTTACTTTAGGTTTGATGTTTAAATATTTTCAACTTAAAAAAAAGAGCTAGAGCAGATTTTCAATGGGAACAATAATGATAGCAAGCCGAAATGATTTTATGAGCTTTATAAATTTATGAAAGAGATGGGGAGTGAGTGGAGAAGAGCAGAGGGAATGAGGTAGGAGATAYCTTTCAAGTCTCAATCAAGCCTGCACTTAAAACAGAAAGATTTAGTAATCCATAAATAAAGCATCTTGCATATCAAACCTTTATACCTCAGAAGATCTATATGTAGGAAAAAAAAAAAGTGCTACATTCCAATTTTTACCAAAAACTTTAGAACTCATTTTCCATTATGACTATGTCCCAATAGAGTTTAGAAATGATAGAAGAAAGATTTTGCATCTCTCAGGAACTCACAGCAAAAATATAAAAGAAAACCAGTCCCTCCAGAACGCACTTAAGCAGCAGAGCGCTACTTACTCTGTCATTACTGTTTGCACCACGCAATGTATCCACCAACCTAATCTTCTTGGGGAAAAACAAAACCAAAGCACACACCCCCCCAGCAAGTGTTCGTTCCAAAGCTTTAGCATGGATAATGCTGGAAACCCTACAGAGAACAGGCAGTCCAGGCACTGAGGTGCCACCTTGCACTCTCCAAAGCCCTTCAGAAGGGTCACCTTTTGAGGGGGCAGAACCAGACCCAAAGCTCTGAAGATGACTACATGGCGAGACCTTCAAGAGGTTGCCCCATAGCAGTGGGCCACCCAGCAGCATTTCCAAAGCCCCAGGGACAGCAGTAATATTAGATCTGTACACATAAACACAGCTTAGCACAGCTCGAAAAAAAATTAATTGTACTAATGACACAGAAATAAAATCCCATCTGCTCTCTGATASAATCCACCCAATCCCTGATTCCCAATCCACCCTCTCCCTGATACAGGATACTGGTAAATCAAAACTCCCATAGAGCAAAAAATTAATAGAACACTTGTCACACTATATCTGTGAAAACTAAGCAAGCTGTTTTCATCTGCAAAAAACGGGAGCTTCTACCAGTTCCAGACTATTTCTCTTTGGGAAGGAAACAACAGATTTTCCCAAAGTATTGGGCTTCCTACAGCAAGCAGCCAACTCATCATCTTTTCATAGCTTCCATTTACAGTAAAATGTTCAGCTCAAAGGGAGTTGGTTTTGTTTTCGTTTTTGATGTTTTTAGAGCTCTTTAGTTACACAGTAAAATTATGTACAGCAAAAAGGCTTAGCTTTTCCATCCACAGAACAGAAAGTTCTAAAGATAACTTGTCCTTCCAACATTTATTTTTATATATTTAATTTAAAACATATGCAAGTTCGAAACAGAGCCTGATGTAACAACAGCCAAAAAGTTCCAGGAAAGAAAAATATTAAAAATGTGTCTATGATACGTACAGTAGTTTTTCTACTTTCTTCCCTTTTTTGTGATAGTCACTAGTCACCGAAGCTAGATTAAATTCCTTTTTTTTTTTTTTACTCTATTAAAAACTCTATTTTTTTAACTCTACTCATTAATCAAAAGTTGTTAAGAGTTTACTATAGTTAAAGGTCAGAATTGATGGATCATTGTAGCTCTGAAAGATGCTGAGAGTCACAGACTTCTTAGAGATTCAGAAGTCTTTCATTAGTCCTGGATTATTTTAAAACTCAAGGGCAGGGGGAATAAGGAAAAAAAAAACCCTAGAACTTCTAGATATTTAGCTGAAAATTTCAGAAATTAATCCCTCACTCACAGGTGAAACTATGAKCACATTCATGCATGGAGTGATGACAGCAGAAAAGTGACCCCAGCAGCATCACCCGCAATGCAGCAAGCAGCAGCCTCCTGAGGAGCACCACGAAGCAGCGAATGGGAACAGCACCAATTCTGAACTGCTTCCCAGCAGCCAGCCAGCTCAAGACAGGCATCTTTGAAAACTCCCCTGCTACTTAATAAATCCAYGCAGATCAAACAAAAAGAACACTCAGACAGCAGGCAGCAATCATTCATTTTCATAGGTTCATAAAAACGAAGCTTCAACTCAAAATCCCTCATCCCTGGTACCAAAGCCATGTCCTAGAACTCAGATCCATCAAACTTTYTCTGTTGGCCTCCTCCCTCCTCCTCCTCCCTATCTGTTTGATAACAGAAGCAGACAGCGCTTAACAGAAACAGAACACAGAATTAGGAAGGAAAAGGAGGTCTGTGGTGGCGAGCTGTGCAGGTAGATGAAATACTGCCTTTCCATGAGCTCATCTTGGAGGCAGCAACTCCCACATCACCAAGCTCCTCCAAAGCAAATCTGGACTTCAGCAGTAGCTGGCAAAGGTGGTGGGGGAAAAAAAAAAAAAAAAAAAGAGTGCAGGGGTTGTTTGTTCCCATCTTGCAGGTGTCTTCCCTTCCTCTCCTCCCGAAGTGCTCTAGCAGGCTGGAAGTGAACACTCCTTTGAGGGTGCTAATGGGAGCTGTGCAAGGTACATCCTAGCCCTGCGGGACAGGACTAACTGGATTATCAATCCTACCACTAGCATCACCTYAAACTTTCCTTTTCCAGCAAGAACCTCACAGCTGGCTAACAGCACCTGGAAAGAGCAAGAGGGAATTGCCCCTCTTCTGCCTGACCCCTATCTTTGCACATCTGAGTCTGCAGTGAGCAATAACACCAGGACTGATCTGCCGGAAGGGCCCCATTGAGACCGATTCCAAGACCTCTTACTAATCTGAGGTTAGACATCAAGAACAGGAAACGATCCTTGAAAAGGTCTCACCCAGCAATGATGTGTTTTATCAAGGCAGCACGTAGATTTCTCAATTTTTATGACCATAAATAGAAAGTCAACATGTTCCGCTTACTGAATTTAGTCAGCAGCAATACCTCAGTCAGGCCATAAACCACAACCAAACAACTAGTCAAGGTCCAGTCCTCCTACAGGAAAAGCAAATCTCTCCATAGGCAGAAACACGTGACCAAGGCAACATACACATTCACTGTTAACCTCTTAAGAGCAAAAAGAAATTGCTCATCCACAGATTATACAGACAAGCTAAGAAATGAGGTAAAGATGAAGGCAAGATGCAGAACTATAAAATTAAAAGACAATATAGTGAACAAAGTTCTTGTTTCAACAACTGGATCTGCAACATTATACACGGACAAAGACATTACCTTCATTAGCAAGACATGCTTGAAAAAAGTCACTACAAGCTCTTTCAAGAAAGCATAAATAAGGTCATTAAAAGGTAGCTAGGCACAACGTGCGGTGCTAACGATGGAGATTTAGGTGTCTACTACATCCACTAGAATCATCTTCAGTAACACAAATATATAAAACACATTTTAAATATTGGGTGCGAAGTGAGAGGACTTTTATAGTACCCAGCTTCCTCCATAAAGATATCAGCCTAAATAATAATTGACATAAGGTTTACATCACCTG